CCCCAATCACACACACACACACACACACACACACAAACACACGAAATTCCATAATTTCTCCTTTAGTCCTCCCGTGCCTGGAATCAAACTCGTGTCTACGTGTGAATGTGTGTGTGTGTGTGTGTGTGTGTATGTGTGTGCGTGTGTGTGCATGTTAATGAGGAAGGTTGACCGGTTGTTTCTAGGTCGCCTGAGGGCTCGAAAAAGCCTGTAAAACCGGATCCGGTTTCCGCCCGAGTCAACAAGGCCCGCACTCTTCCCACTGGGCTCCACTTTCTCTCGGGCAACGGCAAATTGCTACCGTAACCAAATCGCTCATCCCCACAACCGATAAGTGCACCCCACCCCTCCCCTCTCGTCCTTCACCCCGGCCTCCTTTCTCTCCCGACCGACCCGAGCCAAGCGTCGAGCAGGCTTTGTTTGTTTGCGTCATGCCCACGCACGACAACACGCGGAAACCCTCGGCTCGAGTCTGTACCGTTGATGTGGTCACGAGGAGACACGCAAAAAAGACTACATGTCACCGGTGCCTGGAGACAAACGCCATAGCGATCAGGCTCGGGGTCACCTCCTCAGCGAGACACCATCTCCATTGCGAAATGTTGTATCTAAAAAGCCTGCCTTCGTCTCCACTCACAAGTTGGCCAGAGGCGACGGATTATGCGGTTGGCAAGGAAACCTTAAAAAAAGTAAACATCCTCGCCACAACGAAATCCTCCTTCTTGTCTGTTGCGCCGTCACGGAGGTCGCCAGAGCGGAAAAAACACATCAAAATACTACTCTTAACTACTCTTAGGCATGAATCATATTTCGTGAGACTGATGAAGAACTGATAGTTGAATACATCCACATTCCCACCATAGAATGTGGTATTGGAAAATGCTTGGTTCTGCTTGAAATTCACATCCAGGTTCGAGTCCCGCTGGTGGTGCTGATGAGACCAAGTAACGCGGGGTCGAAACTGCAATCCATTCGTGCTGGGATGAGAAGACATTTTGACCTGGGGCGTCATGTGAAACCTACTCATTTAAATTGTGGGAAAATTGAACTACCAGTGGTTCATCAAGTTGAAACGAAATCGAAGGAATAAATCGCATTTATATGATCTTTTGGTGGTCAAGAAAGCTTGTTTGTAACTCAAAAAAGTATCAGAAGTTGTTTGACCTTGTTTTCGCAACTTGGTCATGTTGGTAGGAGGACTTAAAAGAACGCAACCAGTCCGAAGTCCATTGTATGCCTCATCATTTCCAAAGTCGGACCGTGGACGTGGTACATTCCCACACGTCGTCAGTGGGTCTCGTCATTCTCGGCACAACACAACAACTGGTCAAGGAGACAAGAAAACGGTCCTACTCTTGAAATGACGATGCATACAACAGACCTCCTACCAGCATGACCAAGTTGCGAAAACAAGGTCAAACAACTTCTTAAAACAACGAAATGAGACTGCGACCACACAAAAGGCCACACGATCTTGGTCTTCATATCTTCGATTTAAAAAAGGATCACTTTTACTTTTGCCGTCTCAATCAAACACACCCCATAATTTGGTGGGCTATTTCACGCCGAGCTTCGATGTTTACAGACGAGTCAAGAAGACAAATGCCAACTACATATTTCCAATTCCAGCTTTTTCTTCAATCGGAAATGCTGGCAAGTTTATGCACCAAACAACGCATGTGGGGAAAGTAAAACAAAATGAAGCTGTTAAAATGCGCTCAAAAGGTAGCCTAAAACCCAACGGAACAGAATGATTGGAATTTTGATCAACCGGGCCGTAATTTAAACAAATTGGTCTCAACTCTATTCACCCTAATTCATCCAACGCGAGAAAGTATTGGTAGTTCAATTTTCCCATAATCATACAACAATCCCACCAC